GGCGCGACACATTATACATCGTCTACACTGCCACCCGGAGGGGGGGGGGAGCGACGCTGCACCATTTATAACCGTCAGCCAGGAAACTCCTCCTGTCAAGAGAATGAGAGCAAACGCTTACCCTATCACCCTAAACTTCTAAAGAGCATAAACCCCTTAACCCCCGCGCTTACAACTACTCCGGTGCCCCTAAGCCTGAGCCGCCGGACACCAATACCCCTAAACCATGAACTCCTGAACAGAAATACTGAGTGACTAGAAGTATGAGTCGCCGGAGCCACCAATCCCTCTACCAAAACCCCGCAAGTCCCTCTCGTAGGTCCAGATCCGAAAAACACATGGAAGACACTAATGTAGGGGCCTCCCTAAGGAATAATATTGGCAATTACTTAGGCTTCTATAATGGACCTCTCACCCCAGACCTGCTAAGACTTCTAAACAACCCAAATCTCTAGACTCTAGACCTTGAACCCGGCACTCCTGGTAAAGGTGGTTCGGCGGATTGGCCATGAAGTAGATCATCAAGGCCTCACGCTCAATTCAAGACTCGAGACGATTGGGGGCAGTTTAGCTAGAGCTTGAGGGCTTCAGGGATTTAAAGGTCAGAGTTTAGCCTTCGAGGCTGCAGGGGTCTGGGGCTCGATGTAAGGCTTTTGTCTTTCGAAGCTTTGCTGCCAAGTCGCCACCGACACTGCGTAGAAGGTCACATAGACGCAAATGATTGAATACCTTACGGTCTAGGGTTCAGGGCGTAGGACTTTGGATGCATCTCCCGGCGGAAACGACTATTCAATAGGTTTCCTTGTATTTTACTCATGTCTATACCATAGCATAGTATATCCTGAAATAATCCTACCCTAGATTTTCAGATCCCTGTGTGAGGGGACAGGCACTGGTACTGTAAGGAGGATTGATCCAGTGCATGACTAGCACATCTGGTCACATCCACAGACAGACGGGTTCAAATACAAGAAGTTGAAGTCGTTTGATGCGAGTCATTAAACTCGTCGCATGGGAGCATGCATTTGTGCAGACAAGTACCTTGAAACTTCAACCATCTCACACATCAGCCTCTGTACCCCTAAAGCCCTAAACTCCAAGATCAACCTTTTCCCATCCGTGTTGCTCGTGCAGGCGGTGGATGACCCGCTGCACACGATGTTCGGACGTCTCTTGAAAAAGCTGAACATGGCTTGCGTTCCTGCGCGGTCTGCTGATCGGGTTTTCGGCTCAAGAGTTAACGTATAATAGGATCTAAGATGATCTAAGTCTTCAGAAATGCGATAGTTTACCGTGCTGGAGGTATATATAGGGTTCGGAACATGAGATATGATTGGCGGGCAGGGGTGTTCAGAACAATCGCAGGCAAGCGTGAGCCAGATGCCTCCTGAGGCGGCCTGCCGCTTTCATTGTGTATACACTCTAAACCATTAAACCCTGGAGCACTACTCCCCTAAACCCTTCAACCCAAAACCCCTAAATCCCTAAAGCAGACAACGTCGCAAAAGGCCTCGAGGTGCACTGCCCAGGAAGCGCCCCGACGGTCTGCAGAGCACTCACCTCAACATTGCCGCATTCTTCCATGAGTCGTGGCTGTGACCGTACTGCCCTACAACAGTACTATTGAAATTGCGAGGGCAGCAGGAAACACTAGTTATTTTGGCAACAAGGTTGTCTCGCTGATGGATTGAAGCCTCTCTTCGATCACAGTTACTTCCGTAATCTTCCATACCCCCGAGCTATATTCCCTGCGGCGGGTCCTTTGTACCTTCAAGCGAACACTAAGGCCGGGCGGACACCGGAGGGATATTGTACTAATGGAACTTATGAGGACTTGCAGGGTTGAGCTTCAAATAAGCCTAAGTCCTTTACCCAAAGGCTATCCTGGAATGTTGCGTTTCGTTGCCCCAGAAGGCACCCGCTGCGAACAAAGGCTGCGAACCCTCATACTACATGCCCAAAGGCCCCCCGACTCTACATGCCACGCTTTGGGGTTAAAGGCTTAGTGCTTAGGGTTTCTAGAACTGAACCCGTAACCCTAATCGTTACATTTAAACCCTGAACCAGGAAATCCTCCTACTCTCCGAATACTCTCAGCCCGAAGCCATCAGCAACAACGGATAGTGCAGTTCAGCCGCTTGGAGATGCAAATGCAGCGGAGAGAGCAATGGGGAAACTTCCAGGCAGCCCTGCCACCACCGGCTTAAGGTGGGTACGTGGGCCCTTAGGCCAGCTTCTATACCTATCATCTCGACGACACACTGAAACCGTGGAACACAAAGCACCTGAATCCTCCAATCCAAACAGGCAGAAAACTTGATGTAAACCCGGAGCATACACTCTTGAGAAACCTTGTACTCCAGGACCCTCCAAGTGCCCTCAAATAGCGGTATATGGTCCCAAATTAGGGTCTAATAGAGGGTAGATGGAGGGTCTAGGCTGACAACCATAGAAGCTGTGTCCTCAGAAGAAAATCTCTCGATACGCTTGGTCGTCCCAGCAACCCAGCCTGTGGAGCTGTTGAGGCACTTGGTGCATGCACCTGTGGATCTTTGGGAATTGAAATCCAAAACCCTACACCCGACAATCTCAAGAATGCAGGGCAAATCTTAGGCCGCTTCAGGGGCTGCCAATTGGGGCTTTCGAAGGCCGGTGCCAAAGGCAAACCACAGAAAACGCATCTTGTGGCGGGGGGCGGGGCTTGTCACAACAACACCCTTGGTGCATGGAGAAGCAAGGAGCCAAGCTTGCAAACGTGAGACGTGGGAATGGCAGCAAGGTGAATGTGAATGGGTACAATGGCAGGCGCAGGACATTAGCTAACAGCAGCAAAGGTAGAAGAAACAACTAGGATTACGTTTAATTAACATTTGTCACAGTCATGGCAACTCTGGAGCCGAAGGATTACAAGCTCGTTCTAGACCCTGCAGTTTAGTGTGCTTTACATCGAACGCTCCGGGAGGAGGTTTCGATGGCGGCGCTCTCCCGGCAACAGCAAGTGCCGCCGCGTGTTGGACGAGGTTTTTAGATGTGGTGGCTTTCTGCTTGCGAGCGACTTCACGAATCAACCCAACTAGCACTAACTAACCATGCACAGACATGCCCTGTGAGCAACCCCCAAAGCGAAATGAAGATTACACTGTCAGGGACAGAAACCATGACAAACGCATCCAATGACGAAAATAACGTAAACCCCAACCACACCCAAAAGCTGGCAAACACCCAGCCTGCTTCAATCAACTGATTCAAGCCTCATGTCATGTTGTTTTTCCTGTACACACGATTACACGCCGCGTGACTTGCGGGAGGGTCTAAGCTGCGATCAGACTTTGAGCGGCTGAACGCGAGCCCATGTCGGCAAAAGCGGGAGCAAGTCTTAACGAAAGACCTTGAGAAACTCTATCGGAAGACCGCACAATGGTTAGTGTCAGCCTCGGCAATCACTACTGGAGGTCCCTGGGAGGCAACCCAGTGGACGGCAACTACGCGGATCTGTCAACCGAGCTTCACAAGAGCTGGGCTCCTGGAAAAGTGAAGGGGTATCCATGCCGCAAGACGGCCCGAGTGCAGGCTAGAGTTTATATAGAAGAGACGAGACCCGCTATCCTAATGGTGGCTTAGATGCGATATCAAGAGGAAACTGACCCCGATGCAGTATGCGTGTGCCGGCACAGCACAGCTACTGTGGACATAACTGCACTCACACTCTTGGTTTGGTGAACTGTCAGCTCCATCCATCCTCGACGGCTGAACGAATTCGACCTTGTGTTTCTGCTACCCAAGTGCAACGAGACTATCAGAAGAATAAGCTTGGTCGGAGGAGCTGAGCAGTACACACGCACAGAGAAAAGCAAACGCGCACACCCATAAATGAATTTAAACATCAGGCTCCCTTCATCCTATCTCCCTTTAAAGTGATCAACATGCATAATGTGTAGCCGCGTTGTCGACTTTCATGTCTGCGAATCTGCAAGGCCCACGAGGTCCCAGGAAGCCTGAAACTCTCGAAGAGTGAGAGAAGTACTTATCGAAACAAGCAGGAGACGCACACCACATGGACCTCGGTATGTGGTGGATGATCTGGTCCATCTGCTTCACTGCCCAGATAACTTAGCACTGCTACCAACCAAGAAGGGCAACTAGGGGATTCGACAAGTATATTCGAGAATCCATTTCGTAAGTTGTGGGCTTCTGGGTCAGGGTGCAAGCGTCTTGCTTGCGGAACCCTTGTCGGCAGTTGTCGTTCAGAGTGCATCGACAAGCATGCCGCGACGTCTGCTCTTCGAAAGGAATCACACGAACTGAATTTACTGAATGTGCTAATTCAAGGGCACAGTGTATATATATATATATAGAAAGAGCGGCGATTCGTTATTCTACGCAGACTCGCCCGTCTTCCAATAGTATTCCGCATGATTGTTCGCCTGCGAGAGCAATGCTGCGGGAAGACTGCAGAAAGGTCCAAACGGGGACTGCGAAGCGCACATTAACTTGTGAAATTTCGGGGTGTCTGTCGCAGAGGCCAGCTGGACCATGAGTCGTGACCACGAGGGTTACGCACTCGATGCTGTCATGGTGCATTTCTTGCGGTTACGTCTTCTGTGCTGAACCTACGAATTCATTTAAATCCTCAGGCTTTAAGCCTGAAGTCATCCTCTGTGCTACATGACAACCATGGACAGCGGTGAGCTTCGACTCGCACCAAGAAGCACTCGCAGAGCTCGTCCGGTATTCCCTTGTTCGAACCTGCGGAAAAGTAGGAATATAAAGGAAAATATCTTGCAGATGCAGCGTGTGAATTTTCGAGGGCCGTCCCCTCACTGTGCAGGAGATCTGCCCGGTAATGTTCGTGTGTCTAAGCACAGCGGCGAGATGTGGCCCTCAGGTCGCGGAGGCTCATGGTGTTCCACCGCCCGGATAGGATCTCGAGCACCATACGGTGAGAGCCACACTGGTGCGATACATGAGCTATGTCCAACGCAGTTCGACCGGTCGAGGTCTTCTTCGACGGATCCGCGCTTTCTCGAAGAAGGGCTTGTACCATTCGAGCATCTCCCTGCTGCGCTGCAACATGGAGCGGGCACACCGATTCCGAGAGCAGCCTGAAGCCCAAGCGGGAGCGCGGTGCATTGACTCCAGCGAAGTTGTTCCTCCTCAAGAAGTCAACGACCACCTCACGTCGCTCTGAGCGAATTCGCCCACGGCGGGCACGGACCGCGTGCCTGCGGAACGAGTTGGTTGAATTGACCTTTCGCGTCATTGGCTCCCCAGGAAGACCACCTCCCCCACACTCTTCCATCGACTCGTCAAACCGTGGGTCGATGTCGCCTTGGTCGGCCTCGGATTCTTGTGTCGTGACGGACAAACTAAAGTCCGTCTCATCGTCCAATGCTGTGCAACTTGAGGGTGCAGTGGATCGGCTCACCAAGCGGTCCGGCAGCAAACTTATTTTTTCTGGGCCTGTCGGAAAGGTCTGATCCGGCTCATCCGGTGCACCATCGTCTTCGAGGTCCAGGTCTGGGTGCCTAGGCAACTTAAGGTTGGCGAGCATGCTCCAAGACTCATCTTCTCCATCTCCAGACAGAAGGGCATCGGGTCGAGCTGGAGTGGTCAAGGCTCCAAGACTCATCTTGTCCGTCTCCAGAAATCGCTCTGGGGCGGTCAAGGAGCGCACGAACATGTCGGGAAGGATGAGCACTACTAGTCAAGTAGTCTAGAAGTCCAATGTCGCTTCCCGTCTTCAATGTTCCAGACACTACGATGGCTCACCGCTTTGTAGCCATGAGTTGTATATCTTGTGGCCACTTCCTTAAACCAACAGTGAGACCTTGAACCCTACACAGTGCTCAATGCGGGCAGAGGGCATGAGACATTTCGATGATGCGAGTTCTGTCTAGCGACATGTTGGAGAGCGTAAGAAGCACTCCCCACAGCACGCAAAGGTCGTTCGGAAGCTGGGCTGGTCGAGGTTTGAGGAACTCTATCGGCCGAGGACCACCCATCCTAATTATCGAGAACTACTCTCTGCAAGCTGGTTGGTTCATCTCCACACATTGACCGCACAAATACGACATGCTGACACTTGGCCTCGATCTCGGTCTGCAACATGGAGGTGGCAGCAAGCTCATCCTCACAGGCGAAGCCTAAAACGAGAGGTGCTGAGATGAAGCCTGAAGCCTATATTTATGATAATAAGATTAACGATAAAAATGATAGTAGTCGTGGTAATATTATCAATATCAATGATCGCTGTTTGTGAGGACTCATCAGTAATAATACTACTCCGAGCTTGGAAACTCGTCACGAGGAGCTCGGACCAGAAAGCCTTTGCTACAAGGCCACGGCTTAATCGGCATTAAGGGTTCAGGGTTCAGCATTTAGGATCCCCACTAGCCGAAGTGTCCCCTGAATTTCCCTGACGTTTGATCTGATCCAAGTTGCCCCAGGAAGCGTTGGCAGATGAGAGTGGAAGCTTCAGGGTTCTGCTGGTGGATGGGCATTTTATGGGTATGATGGCAATGACTCGGGGCTTAGGGTTTAGGGTATGGTAGTATGGTGGTCATCATCATCACCACCCACCATCA